TCAAACTATGCCTTGCTATTTTTATAATAGCTGCCTCTTTCTTACTCAGCAAATCTTAATTTTTATGTTTCTGCATTTATCTACCTTTATGATCAGAGCATTAGGTGTTTCTAGTCTATATTGTATTCAATATTCTATATTCTATTCCATAGGCCCAGTTGGCCAACTCATAGTCCTTTCAAGACTTTGGCATGGCCTCAACCGTTCCCCTTCTCTTGTGCCACTCAAAGTAGGTAGCAGTGTGGTTTGTGGTGAGCTATTTGAAAATCGTCTCTTAGGATTTAGCACTAGGATTAGGAAAAAGCATGGTAAATGAAAAATGTGCACAGTAGTTTGCATTTAAAACTTTGGGGTAAACTTTATATTAAGTTAAACTTAGACATATTTTGGAAACCTGTTTAACTTTCAAATTGCTCATTTACCTTTTGAAATGCCCACTTAAAGATGAAATGGGTTCTGTGGTGTGTTTTTTTTTTTTTTTTAATACATATATCTGTTTCTGAAAGGTTTAACAACAATTTTAAAGGAAAATAACTTTGGGTAAAATGGTAGCAAAAATATATACAATAGTGTCCTACTCTCTTTCATGCCATTCTGCTGAAATTCTTGGAACCTTCTAAGTTGCTGCTGCCAGTAATAGAATACTTTTTCATTTATTTAATGTATGCAATATTAATGTACATACTACTTTCTATGTTCTTGCCAACTTTTTTTTTCCTGGCCAATCCACTTATAATCCTCAACAAGTCACACAAGACTGAGTGAAACTTCTAGTCCAAAAAACTTGACTAGACATGTGCCAGTAGCTGGAGAGATGGGTATAGTATTCTGTAAAATGTTTATATTAAAAATAATGTTCATAATGTTTATACTATTATTAACTATTTCTCTCAAGCTACATTAACCCATTTGAAGCAGGCTTTCATAATTTTGTTGAAGCACAGTATGTTTTAATTTGAAGTGTACTATATACTAGCATTCTATTTTGCTCTATTTTAATAGTTGATCTTTAAATAAAAAAGAGCAATTTCCAAAAATTTAACTATCTTTAATAAATGTTGGAGGTGAGGAACAAAGATGATACTTAAAATACATTATCATCTTTTTTTCTAATGTATTTTTACATGGTATTGTAATTTTAAACTGTTATTAACTCTCAGACTGGTAATGGGGTGACAGAAGAATGAGATGTAATATTTCATAATGCAGAAAAAGAAAATAAAGTAAGACATTTTAAATAACAGCTCAAGGGGCAAATTGGCCAGCTTAAAAGAACCAGCTGTAAATCTCTGGTTCTTCTTTCTTTTGGAGGCCTCTGGTAGATTCCCGCTCATCTTCGAAAACCATGGCATCTGTACATGGAAAAGGTCCAGAGAGACCTCATCTACAGCAGCCTTCTGCTGTTTATCATTTTAAAGGCTCCTTGGTATAAAGTGACTGCAAGCATTTCAACCATTCCCTGAAGTATTATATTTAAGCTGAGTTACAGGCCTACCCAAAGATTTGCTGATTCTTGCCAAGTGGCAGCCATGCCCATCCATATCTGAACCAATACTTCATTTCAAGAATGTGGTGTTTCAACCATACACAGAGATATAAGATCACAAATGCTGGCAACAAGATGGAAGCCTCAAAGTACAAAGTAGGTTAGAAGACTATTCTTTAGCTTAAGTATTCACACATGACACATCTGTCAGACTTTAGGCATTTTAATAAGCAGAATAACGGATGAGCATCTGCATGTAGTTGATAAATATAATCTAGAATAAATAAAATAATCACAGATATAATAAGCCAAGAAGAAAATGAATGATGCCCTTTTTTTAAAAAAAGGAAACACAGCAGGAACGCATTTAAAATCTTAATTTCCCTGCCACACAAATATGTAAGAAAACACATTCCAAGTGGTATGTTGACTGATGTATCCATGTGGTATTCCACTCGGTTCATTCATAACTGTATTATACCTGTCATAATTTTATTTAATTTGATTTTTTTCCTAAAAAGATCCTTTTGGACCCCTTTTGTATATACAAGCATTAAATCTGTATCATATGTTGCAAAGATGAAAAGTTCAAAGTTAAATAATATATTTAATACATCTTAAAGAAAACAATAACATATCTGGAATTAGTTGTACTTATTAATCTCATCAGGTACCAACTATATGAGAGGCACAGGAATTTTCTTTATTTATTTTCAGGAAGGTTAATTGTGGAGAGAGGGTTCTCAAAAGGAAAGTAGCAGGGATGTGAACAGGAAGAATGTTAAATCAGCAGAACCCAAATGCTGATAAAGACACCAAGTGTTGTCACAGTGGAAGCATCAGGGCAGAGGAGAAGGCTTATAAGCATTTTTGATGTGAATATGCTGTCTCCTTGGTGGATCTGGGCTCCTAAAACAAGACTGCCACAATCACACAGAACTCTTCCATGAGTGCAGAACCAACAAACATGGCCTGTTACAACGGGGCTTGTGCATGGTTTCTCAACTCCATTCTAACTAAAATGCATAGGTTCAGTCTAGATAGCTGCCTCATCAAACTGAAACTTCTGATAAACTTCCCTGTTTGGCATTCCAACTGATTATTATTTGTTGCTAATTCCAACAGCACTATTTCATTGCAGCTGAAACACAGAAATGGAATTTTATGGCCATACTGTAACACAATTCTGCGTTTTCAGCTCTAATACATGGTTAGCTATATTTTCAAGAGTTCCAAGACAGAGGTTAACATAGTTCAACATTATATATTTATTGAACACTGATTTATCAAAATTAAATTTGCTGTGTAAATAAACATGCATATTATCTGCATGTGAAAATATATACAGAATTCCTTACTTATTTTCAAACAAAGGAGAAGAACTGAAAAACAGTTTGAAATGCAGCTTCTTTCAATCTGGTGATGAATGTACTAAATGCCAGTTTGTGGTATTTTTATCCCAACATATAGGGAAGGAGAGTATCAGACTGGAAAGGCATTTTTAATTTAATATTGTATTTATTATATTCCTTAGGAAGAAAATCGTTTGTTATATCCAAATCCTCCAGTTTTGACTTCATTCTGGGATTTAATTTTTTCTCAAGCAAAACAAATAGCTGCTTCTCTAATTGCCAAACTGTATGCATTTCAAACATTTGTCCTTTATCAAGAAACCCTCTTAAATACAAACTGAGAGGCCTATTCTTTTTCCACAAGTGGTTTATCTTAAAAGCTACCTTAGTCCTTGTGGTTCTGTTCTCTAATTTTCCTTTTTTTCTCCCAGTCTACTTGGGATGTAAGAAGAGCAGATTCAGAATCCTCTCTTGGATCCAAGTTTTTAAAAGATGCATTTGCATAGAAATCATTCTTAATTAGTGCTTTAGACCAAACACAAATTTCAGGAAGTAGAGCTGGCCTTCAATATTTGGAACGTTTTGAAGGAAAAAAGGAAAAAAGGTGGGGAGGGAGGCTGCCACTTTTCCAATTTGGCTCATAATTTATAAATAACAATGAGATGGAACTTGGAGGAAAATAAATAATTATGCTTCTTATACAGTCTACCACTGAAAGCAAGCATTTCAGAGTACTTCCAGCCATCAGGGTGGGGTAATTCTTCTGCAGGGAATTTTCTGTGTTTGCTAATGAACAACAGGTTCTTCTGAACTGTGTGAAAATGCTGTGCAGACACAGCCTCAGAGCAAATAGTCCTTTGACTAAGAACTAAACTTAAACAGATCTGTCAGGTGCTGGAAGTTTTAGTTGACCTTCAAACCGACATTCCACTTTTCCATTAAAAAAAGCAAGTATTTAACAACAACAAAAAGTTTCCATCAGTAATTCCGAACTTGGCTTAACAGGTTTAATTTCTAAGGATTTTTTTTTTTTTACTTCAGCTGAGAGTAGGGTAATAGGCTGTATGTACTAATATGTTCTCTTTTTCAAACTGATTCCAAGCTTGTCTGTTTTTAAATATGGGAAATATACTGTGCAGTAATTTTATATTCCTTCAGGTTTTCTGAAACAGTGATAGTAAATAATTAAACCTATTTAGCAAATCATCTGATGGTTTTGTATTAATTTCATCACTTCGTAGATTTCTGTCATCTAAAATATTTCGTCATCTTCCTTTTCTACCACATTCTCCTTATGCAGTTAATATTGAAGTTCACTTCAAATAAGCCTAAAACAATAGATAATACTTGTGATCAAATGGAACTTCAGTGTGAATAGGTCTGCTTTGAGTGTGAAGAGGATGGGCTGAGGTCTACCAAATATTTCATGATACCGCAGCCTGCCTATCTTACCAATACATTGAAGACAATTCTGAACTATTTCCTGATTTTCAGTTACAGTTCATTAGTGTAAAAAGGGAAGTGGAAAATCCCATTCCATGAGCAGAACTTCATTTTCAGTTCTTAGAATCTAAGACAATATGTCCTCTTGGGGTGAATATATCAGTAATACAAGTAATGACTATCAAATTTTCTTTCAGTATAGGAACTCAACCCTACATGAAGAGAACTAGAGAAAGGACTGCAATGTTGATTTCCAAGCATGAACATAAAATCTTACATGCTCTCTTACTTCAAACCAGAGTAAACAGGTCCAGTTTCCTATTTATTAATGTAACCAACATTGTATTATTATAAGAAGAATTGTGCAAGGAATAAAGCATAGGTAGGTTACCATTATGCCCTAACCATCACCTAGGAGTCAACTACCTTGCCAAAAGTTGTACTGATGCATCTTCCTTTCTATTCAGCTTTGTCCCACCTGCACTACTCAAGATAGTACGGTCATTGTTGCAACAAAAGCCTCAATGTTTATGGGATGGAAAGCAAGGAATTAACAAATTACACCTCTATGCTATCACTTTGGAACAAGAAAAGATTTTTTTCTGAGAAAAATGTTAAACATATCTTTTTTTCTGAATAGGCATATATTACTGCACAGTTTTGTCTATCTCTCTCTTGAAATATGTCAAACACTGATGTCAGCATGAACAAACAGTTACCTCATTGTCAGTTCCCACATCAAGCATAACGGGCAGACACTCCTGGGGCTTCAATCCTCCGCATGCTGTGTAAAGTGCTAGTTTACCCACTGGGATGCCCATTCCATAACAACCTAGGTCTCCAAGGCCAAGAATACGTTCTCCATCAGTCACTACAATAGCCTATGGAAAAAGTATGGTAAGGATTATAGAACTGCAAAGATATCCTGGAGTCTTTGTTATGACCAGTTTTAAGCAAGCCAGTTTAAGCTCCTTCATGTTATTACTATTTTCAGAACAACCACCATACATATATACATACATAAAACTGTGTTTTCTTTAAGGCCATTACTTAAGTAAATAGATCTTTGGTCAATCAACTATATGGGTCTAGGCTGATTAAATCAGTACATGAGAAACAACTCATGTCAAACAAAGTGAGCATACTGGATTCTCTTTAATGATGTCCTTTTATTTCCAGAATGGACAGTTGGTCTAACCCTACTAATAAAAGGAAATGGCAGTTTTGATCAATTTCCTTTCCCTATTTCAGAGAGTGGCCCATTCTGCCAGAATGGATTTTGCAGAGAATAGAAGACTGTGGAAGAAACTGGCAAAAATCATGTTTTTAACTTTGCAATTACTTCTGAAATATCCAAGATCTTTTGGTGAAGGAAAAGATACCAGTGGGTGTAATTTCTTTCTTAAGTGTTTGGATGAAGCAAATAAAAGGTTATCTCTCTGACACAGGAGACAATGTTTGTTTTAAGACAGACATTGCCATCTGCAGTTTCTATTGCCCAATTAATTGGGGAGCTCTGGATAATCATTTCTTTTTAATCAGATGCTCTAATGCAGGGTTTCTCAACCGTGGTGACTTGAAGATGTGTGGACTTCAAATCCCAGAATTCCCCAGCCAGCATGTTGCCAAGGTTGAGGAACCCTGCTCTAATGAATCTGTTGTTTAAAAACTGCAACATTTTGCTGTGATGCAAGGAGGAAAAAATCAGTTCATTTACTGACACAACCTCTGTGATTGAGTGCGGATAGCCCAGCACCATGATTCTGGACATTTGCACTAAATAACATAACTGTTTAATGTGCTGCTTTAACTCCTCTGAGTAATGACACTATGCTATTTCCAATTCTTATTTTCCAACTTAAGGACTTAATTTCTGACAACAGGCTATTAATTATCAACCAATTAGGTATAGGGAGCCTTTGTCAGTCCAACTGTCACATCTGTTCCAGGAACACATCCTGAGGCAGCATGCCAGAACTGAGCAGAGCCAGTCCAAGATGGACAGGATCATTCTCTTTCTTCCTTTGACTTCCTTGATTCCCCACGCACATGCGTAAGCATTGATCCCCTCATTCTCCCTTAATCTCTTATAAAAGTCCCCCATCCTACATTAATAATTTCATCTGCTCAAATTGGTGTCTACCCACAGATCATCCCACATTATTTTTCATTTATACAGAAGAGGAATCCTGCACAGGCATGGCTGTTTTCAGAAATGTCCAAAATGTTGATCTTTGAAGATGTTTCCCTTTAACTAATAAAGCCTTCTTTGTCCTTTTATTTAGTAGCTGTTTGGTTCTCTCCACCTGGAGAATTGGAAAAAGCAACCCAGATAGGGCTGAAATATGGATGGCTGGAGGGTGAGAAAATCCTACTAGAATGACTGCTCAGCTGAAGCAGTGGGTAAAAAAGAAAAACAGCTGGGGCAAAGGCCCTCTTTGATATAGCCTCCCAACCAGCAGGATTTCCTGGAAATTAGGAGTGACCGCAAGGGTTGATGCAAAAAGAAAGAAAAAGAGGACGGAGCAGTTGACAACTGCAATGCAGTTTATGTGGGACTACTAGAAAAAAACTACGTGGGACTACTGGAAAAACATGACTGAACATAGATAATGTTAACAATATGTATTAAAGACATACATGTTGTTTTTGCTATATCTCCAGTATTTGGAATTTATCATGGTATCAAGAATTATGGATCGGGGGGAGAATGAGAGTTGGCTAAAAGAATTATTATACAACACTTAAAGTAGAAATCTACACCTGGTTCTCAGCAACATATTGTTGTCAACATCTGAATTGGTCTTGGAATAGAAGAAAATGTTAATTAAACATGGTCAAAATTTTTGGAGCTGTTCTATTAATCACATTATTTCTAGGACATTATTTCTAGGACCCTCTTCTCTTTTTCATTGCTATGTTGATCATTTCTGAGGTTGCATTGATCCTTTAATACTGTTGTGTTTATTTGTATTTGGTTGATTTGCTAAGCACAATAAAGTAAAATATACACTGAGAAATGACTGGGAGTTGCAACTGATTTAAAATATTGCTGTTAGGCTGCTAGTAAGTACAAAGTACAGGGATCTTGATGTCAGTTCTGAATTATACTCTTGCGTTACTCCTGGGCTGTGGAATTGCCTTGAATTGCATACGTCTCCATTTTAGAACATCAGTCAAAGCACACACCTTTTTGCCAGTCTTTTAATTGTTAACTATACTTAACATTGGGTTTAATTTTTTTTTAATTGTTTGCATTTCACATTTTACTGAATGTTAGCCACCTGAGTAGTAAAGCAGGGTATAAGCCATATAAGTAAACGAACAAATAAGCAAGCAAGCAGTATGACAATTGGAGGAGATGTTAAAGACACACATAGTCAAATGAGGCTCAGACAAGAAAACTCTGAGTCCAGAGGTTACCCACTGCTGCTTTAAAAATAGTGCAAATGAGAAAATGGCTTAAATCTCAGATAAATCATGTTCATGAATCACGCAACCAAATCGGCTGCTATCTACCAGAAAAATTCTTTAAAAGCATTTAGCACTTCCAAAGTTCTCAGAGAAAGAATCTCAGGAACCTGAAGCTTTCATGCCAGATATTTTTCACCACAGTTTCAAAGTTTCTGTATATAAACAAAAATAATCTGTTTCTGGTTTTTCTCTGCTAATCCTTTGAGAATACAGCCATTGTTGCTTAAGAAATAGGTATTCAATGCTACATTCCACAGTGGTTACATATTTCTGTTCTGGCTCCAAAAGGAGTATCTGAAAGCTGGTGAGAGGGTAAGATGCATCGGTTATTGTCACAGCCACCTCCCAACTGACATAATAGGCAATGGGGCAACAGCAACTGGCAAACCACCTGCTCTACAAACCCTGCATGCCTTTACAGATAGCACATATACCTGAAAGGGCAGCCAAGATCTAGAGAAGATTATACATTCCACTGTAGAGATGGTGCGTACCCAGTATCCAAATAATTTCAGTGCTCCCATTCAGAGCCCACTGAATCAAAGGGAAATCTTTAATAAGCTGACAATGCTGTTCTCACATGAAATGTGGATTTAATCATATTAGCCAGCTATTTTCATAAAAGTCAAAAGGGGAAAAAAAACAATGCATACTCTTAGAAATATAAATAATATATTTAATTAATAAATAATGCTGGTCATATTAGTGGCTTAGCAAACATGTATGTAGAAAAAGCTAAGTAGTCCATAACTGGCAGGCTTTGCAGAATTCGTGAAGTTTTATGTAACACTATTTAGTGGAACAGTCTAATATCCCACATCTTCCAATATGTGCTACTATAAACTATGATATCAAAATGTCTGTTTGATACTAGAATACTATAAATCACATGAATATTTTTTATTCATTCGTATATGTTGGGGAAAAAATCCAAAATTCATTTTTTGCAATAACAGTTTTAACTTTTAAGGTTATTTTTTGTGGCGCTTTTGAATAAAAAAAAAAAAAAGCAGGATAAAGTATTTTAAATAAACCTCAAAGCATTTTACTATATCACATCCAAATTGTACAGTGGAACTCTTGCTAGTACTAAATATTTAAGACTATGGTCAAAGGGCCAAACATCTGAATGTTCCCACATTAAAAAAAAAAAAACCTGCTGTGTTACAAAGTCCCAGACTTGCTTTCTCTTAGGCATGGTATGGTGGGGTACTACGTTTATGGAATTTTCAGGAGACAAATAAATAAATAAATAAATAAACCCTACACTATTGTTTACACCAGTAACTTACAGGCATGATTCTAGTATGCACATACATGCATCTAAGAGACACCTACTTTTATGGTAGTTGCAGGCCATGATTTAAACAATGTTTCGATATGTCCTCGATCATGGGAAGTGATGAAGAGTCCTCTGTAAGGAAAGAATTCAAACTTTAAATAGTTCTTAAAATATGAAGTCTTCAACCCTTCCTTCCTTCCTTCCTCCCTCCCTCCCTCCCTCGAATTATACCTTAATTTGACCTACAACTTTCAGTATTGATTTAATGTATTGCTTACAATTTATAGTTTTGTTAGTGATTTGCACTGTATTAATCATGTTTAGCTTACAGTTCAATGCGGACATTTAGGTTTTGTTTAGAGAAAGAAAATTAAATATTTTACGCTGTACTTTGGAATATACCAGTCTTTACTGCTATTTATCTATCCATATTTACTATCTGTAGTTTATCTCCTACATTCCTATATATTTTGTATTTCTTTTTACTTATAGCCTTTTTACTTAAGACTTTCAAAAATATTTTTTAAAAAATAGATGGCACCAATTCATGCTTTCTTATGTACATTTTAGCCCTTTCATTCATAATTAAGCTTTCACTTACCCACAGATATCAATCAATTCCACTCTATAAGATCAGCCACTTAGACTGATGCAGCAGCAGAAGTCAAAGTAATAAATAAGATCATCTTCATTTAGATTGATTATATACTTCCCCCTTTTTTCCCACAGAGCCAGAGCATATCTTTTTTTCTATCTTTCTTTTCCTCTGTTAATTCTTGTTCTTGTCCATTTAGTCCTTTTACATTTCAAGGGACAATCTTCCATGTGCCATGGTAATCGCCAGGTGAGCCTTTAAATATTAACTTCTCCACCCATGGTTTTAATCAATTAAAGCTTTCACACAATGCTTTAAGCTAGAGAAGGGGTAGACTAGGGTACTAGCTTTAGCTGTACCTTTGCCACATGTAGCATTCCTTGCCAACAATAAACACAGTATCAGTCAGTTCAGGCATATTTTGAAAAGAATGCCAAGAGCATAACAAAAGCCCAATTTTACCCAAAGCGTGCTCATGCTGTTCTATGCAAGCTAAGGTCTCTAATCTAGAGACTACTCTATATGCCAACCAACTCTTGCCCACATCACATCATGGAGGCTTATGCAGGGTACTAACATACACTCAGGATGAGTAAGTAGGAAATGATTACAATTGTGAAATGAATGGATTTTTTTCTTATTTTCCCTCAAACTTGATCATCCATTAGCCACTATGTAATTTAGAAGTCTAAACTTCACTTAAAAAAAAAATTAAAAAGCACTATTTAATAGCATTCTCAAGAATTGTCTACTTTCATACCAGGGCTGGCAACATATTCTGTGAGTCTAATGATGAACTACTGTACATGCAACACTACTGAAGTTTATTTACTTTATTTATTAAATTTGTATGCCACCCAACTCCCAACGACTGGGTGGCTCACCACAAGTAAAGAGGAGGAGGAGGAGGAGGAGGAACAACAACAACAACAACAACACAACACAACAAAGATAAGGGAAAAGATAGCAAGATGACAGAAACTGGACAGGAATGGAAAAAAGAAATACACCCACACAATCCAAAGGTAGTCTCACTGTCTCTCACTAAAGTCCTGGGAGAAGAGCCAGGTTTTTAAGGCCCTTCAAAACATCAGCAGGGTGGGGGCCATCTGGATCTTAGGAAAATGTTGTTCCGGAGGGCAGGCACTGCTACAGGGAAGGTGTGCTTCCAAGGTCCCAATAGATGGCACTGTTTAACTGAAGAAACCCAAAGTGTGCCAACCCCACCAGATCAAATAGGACAGGAAGATACTATGGGACATAGGCAGTCCCTCAATTAACCAGGTCCAATTCAATTAGACTCATTCCTGATTCAATGAATATGAACTCTGGAAAGTTTGTTTTCCAGCATTATAAACTAAGATTAGAAAGACTAGCATGCAGAATTCAACAAATGTAATACACATGCACACAGACAGTTGAAAACACTTTTGTGAGTGTGGAAAAAGACCTGGTTGGTTTAATGGTTCAAAAAGAGACGCTGCCAAGTACACTCACATATTCCAAAGCAGCTCTTTCAAAGAATTTGCACAGCTTTAGTTATTATTACCAATCTTTAGATCGGTTTATATTTACTGGCCCTGTAGTATGATCAACCTACAGAGAAGAAGACACAAAACTACTTCTAGAATCATGCAAGTCAGAAACAGAATCTCCAAACCAAATGTGGCTATCTTCATGCACTGATGACATATTTAAGACAGTTAATACGAATATTCCCATGGTATCCCATTAGGCAGTTTTCTATAAAAGCCTAAAAGTCATAGGACTAAAGATATTTCGTCCCTAAAGCATTGTAACATGAGGTATTTACAATATCGTTTTTTGAAAATTCCTAACATTTTCTTAAGGATTAAAGATCAAGCCTGTCACGACTTCTAGATATTTAACTAAACTAGTGACATGGAATTATTAAGCCTGTCGTTTCTAGAAGATGTTGCAAAATATAAACACAGTCTAGATCTCCCTGAGACCTCATAGGAAATACAATGTCCTGCTTGGGGCATTCTATTCAAGGAAAGCTGAATGTAAAATAAATTCTTGCAGTAACAGATACTCTATTTTTTGAGAAAAGGGTTAAAATAACATGGCTCATGTTTCTTGGGAAGAAACCCCAGTTAGTTATATTCTATAATTCACAGAGGGATTAACATTAAAATACTTCAGTCAGGATATTCCACGGATGTTTCATGGAAAAAATATTAACTTGGATACCAACATTAAAAAATGTACAGTTTTAAAATAATTTCTTGAGAATGGCTGCGAGGGCCAAGTCATTTGATTCAGAAATAGCATGCAGTTTTTGCATGTAGAAGATTGCAGGTTCAATTTCCAATATATTCAAGTAGCACTTGAACTAATATCCATTACAGTACTACCAAATTCTTTCTTGCTTCTACATTATTTTGAGATTACTCTACTAGAAGAAATAAAAGGTGGTTGTTCTGACCTCCAGACTAACAAATCAGTTGCGGCAGCACTTGAGAAATAATTCCACAAGATTTCTGGAAAATTGTGCTGTATGTCCATCTTGAAAAAAAATCCTCACATCTGTTGCTAAGAAGTAATCTGAACCAGAGAAGCCTGTTCCCCATATTGTTTAATGTCTACATGAAACCACTGGGTGAGGTCATTCATTAATTCAGGGTGATGTGTCATCAACATGAAGGTGATACCCAGTTATATATCTCCATCCCTAGCCAGACTGGGGATGCAATGGAATTTCTGACGTGATGCCTGAAGGCTTTTAGGTTCTGTATGGGACTGAACTCTAGCAAGGTGAAATGGCTGTGGATTCAAAGGCCAGCTGAATCTGAAGTGGGTCCAACTTTAGTTCTGGATGGGGTCATGCTGCTCTGGACAGACCTGGCTTACAAGGGGAAGAGGAACTCTTTCACAGCTCCTGCTTGAACATAAATGGAGGCTGTGTTTAGGAGGGCCTTTGCACAGCTCCATGTAATGTGCCAAATGCAGCCATTCCTAGATCAGAAGACCCTGTGCATGGTTACTAATGACCTTGTTATTTCATGGCTGGACTTCTGCAATTTGCTGAACCTGAGGCTTGCTTTGAAGACCATCAGGAAGTTTCAGCTGGTACAGCATGTGGAAGCCCAGGTAGATTCCAGATACTTTATCTCTGCGACATCATTACTATACCAGTCTGCTGCTGGATGTAATTCAGGATGCTGGTTGTCACCTTTAAAGCCTATATGACTCAGGGCCTTGATACCTACAAGTCTGCCTATCCAGCAAATGAGAGAGTCTTGAGTCCTGGTAAACAGTCTGTTTCAGATGTTAATCATTCCATTTTAATTTGCAACATCCTTCAGTGTTTGACACACACAGTTTATATACAGGAGAAAATAATTAAAATGTGAACTCCTGATGACAGATAAATATGAATGTTTGTTGGGGTCAGCTGGAGATTATGGGAACCACAAGAAGAATGAGATGAAAAGTTTCTCTTGGACCATACCGGTTCAGGTAAATAAGCTAATGGGGTAAACATTTGTCTTCTAGGAACTCTGAAGAGAAGGGTTAAGGCTAATTAGAGAGGCTACAGGAACTAGCGCTGACAAGATTTGGAGACTGGCCCAGAATACTATGACCTTTGTGTGACTACAGAGGTTTGTTGGAAATCTTCCAAGCTACTAGAACCTGGGCAATTCCTGGAGTAGAGGGTTTGAAAATGTGCTAACAACTGAATTTAGGGCTCAAAGCTTGGGATGGTACTGGAAGGCTAAAGAGGGAGAGCCAAAGTTTACACAGACAGGGAACAGAACAGGAATTGAATGCAGGAAGAACAATATTTCATCCAAGTGGATTGCAATGCAACAATGAGCAATGATACCAGCAAACTTATCCTTAGATGAGGTGGCATACGGAAGAACAATCTGGTCTTTTCCATCTGCCACAGGTCAAGAACCATTAGTTGTTTAGTAGTAATGGTTTGCTGAACCATTTGCTGAACTCTGAAATGCAACATTGTCTAAGAATGTTAACACGATGACTGTGTTCTACTTGCACCCAAGATGTCTACATTTGAAAACCAGTAAGAAACAAAATGCGAATGGCTACATACTTTACAGAGACAGTAATGGCTAAAGAAAAAGTGGGTTATTAACAGAAAACAGTGATATCTGACAAAAGAATAATGGCTAGTCTAACTCGCCCTGATGGAAGGCAGAAAGTGATAGAATAAGGAGAAGCAATTGTAACAACACTCATAAAATGCTTCATGTTCCTTTTAAGCCCAGGATAAGCATCAAGGACTATCCAGCCCCATTTTGCTGTCCCCAGGTTTATGCTGCTAATATTTTCATGGTTTTTTTTTAAGACAAAGACTTAAAAGAAACTCAAAAAAAAAAGAAGACTTAAACGAAACTCAACTTTGGGGGAAATAAAAGCCAGGATACCTCCCCTCACATACCATTCATCTGTCTTGGGGGACATTACTAAGTCACTGCCAAGGCTACCCCTGCAGATTCTTATAATGTCGCCCCTCCCCCCTCAAAAACCCCTTTGAAACAAAAACAAA